CCCTCATCTCCCCATCTCGACGCTTTGCAGACGGACAGTCGCATTGTGTCGGAATCACTTTCTTTTCTACCGTTCTATTCTTTGCACTTGGATTTCGGTGTTTTCTTTTTGATTTAATATTTTTTTCCGATCATCGGAAGAATCAACAAGTACAATAACCCCATCTCTAACCATATCTTACAGGCTATTATCATCAGTTCTGATGTGTGATCATCAATTCAATCTGTCAGAACAACAAGTATAAGGCGAGGTGCCCGATGCACCTGACAATTTTTTCCTGACGTCCGCTATGTATGACTCGGATGACGCTTTTAATAAGTCGCCTCCTATGGAGGCGATCAAACCCAACTATGGAGAGAACGAAACACCACCACCCTTTGTTTCGATTAGCGAAAAAGATGACGCGGGTTCCCGTAAGCCCAACCAGCCGAAACCTCAGAACTCAACCCGTGAGGGCGACCGAGTACTGATGGGGTTTCTAGCTCCGAACCACCCAGAGATTGCTGCAGCGGCAAGGATTGCTCCATTGGAATCACTACCTGGGAATCTCAAAAATTATAAACAGCCGCCTGATTTCGATCCCAGAGGGAGATCAAATCCATGTCTAAGGGATGACCCTCCACGAAAGGCATCATTGGAACTCATAACCTCAGCCTCGGCCTCGGCTTCACATAAAGACACTGAGAACAAACCCCCCCAGAAGAGATTGTTCCCAGTCCCATTACAGCCTAAAGAGCCAGATGTTGAGATTAAAAATGAGATTCAAAGAGAACGAGTACCATCAATCAGTGCCATGAGCCAACGATCTCCACAAGGGTTGCCATATCTCAAAACGTCTTCGGAAATCAAGTCGGAATTTCCCCTCCCATCACTAAAGTTGAGCCAACCAGATACTGGATCATCGTTCGCAAAATCTCCCGAGAGCAGCAATAAACAAACGCTGCCGTCTATCCACAAAGCTATCAGCGAATTGTCAGACTTCGGCCCACCAGTCAACACAATCCCATCTCCCTACCCCTTCTCCTCGTGTCCCGGGTCAACTACATCAGGGAACGATTCTCCATTCGACCGCGCTTTTCCGGGAAAGTTTTCCATCCCTCCAAGTCCTTTTTCTCACTTTTCGCCGGTGAGCCTGAAGGACTCATCTACCAACCCTTCTCCAGCCTCACACTCATCCTTCTGGCGCGGAACACCCCAGTCTGAGATGCTGTCCGCCCAGACCCCGTATGAGGCCTCCCCTATAACCGCCAAAAGCCCAGCGACTAGTTATCCTACGCCCACGGAACAGGTTGGCGTTGGTATGGGTGATCGACATCCGCTCGCTGCATCCACTCCCCAGGCCAATGGGGGCCCCGTGGGTAGTTACAAGTGTACACATCCTGGATGCACTGCTGCGCCATTCCAAACTCAGTATCTCCTCAAGTAAGACCAAAAAGATGACTCGAGTGAAAACCCTACCTAACGAAATAGTAGCTCTCACGCAAACGTGCACTCACAAGATCGCCCACACTTCTGCCCAGTAGAGGGTTGTCCACGCGCACTAGGCGGAAAGGGATTCAAGCGCAAGAATGAAATGATGCGCCATGGCCTCGTACACAACTCCCCAGGCTACGTCTGTCCCTTCTGTCCAGACCAGCAACACAAATACCCGCGACCCGACAATCTTCAACGGTTCGTGCTACATCCGAGCCTCATTTAACCTGACATCAGCTGAACTTACACACTCACACAGGCATGTCCGTGTACACCACGTCGACAAAAACAAAGACGACCCCATTCTCCGACAGGTTCTCGCGCAAAGGCCGCTTGGTAGCGCCCGCGGGAGAAAACGAAGGATGAACAATACATGAAACATTTCAGCCTCTCGTTTTATTTTATATATTTTTCTTCCTATTTCTGTTTACATCTTTGCATCTCTAACTTTCTTTCTTGCCCATGTTCTTTCTATCCCACCCGCTCCGACCGGCGTGTACCCTCTTCAACCACTCCCCCTCCGCCTTCTCTCCCACATTCAACCCTGTGTCCCCCGGGTGTTCCAGATTTCCAGATTAGCGCTTCAGTACGACAATGCTAATCCCCCTTCGAGACAACTTCGCAAATTTACGCGTGACGAATTTCTCAGCTGTGATACCTTTCTGCTTTTTTTTCTTTTTTTTTTTTGTTACCCTTGGGTACTTTTATTTTGGTGCTTCTGCAATGATACCACCTGTCCATTGTTAGAAATTCATGATGTTACATGGGTCATTCGTTTAATAGGAGTGTTGTGAGTCTTCACTATTTCTTCTTTCTCCATATTGTCTGATCAATTCAATTGGAGTATTATGAAACTCATTCTGTTGAAAATATACTCGGAACATGTCAAAAATATCACACGCGGATAGAAGTCATTTCCTTTGATGTAGCATAGCTTGAGACTGGTCTTGCTGGCTTCGCTCTAAATGTGCGTATGATCAATTCGATCTGATACTTCCTCTCTTGAGAACCAACGTATTGGCACACCTTTCTATCAATTACATGGTTTCTCTATGTAGATTAAAGTCTCCCTAGCTTCCAAGTGGTGCATTCATAGGGTGTAGGGACTTTTCTTCCGTCTACTACTTGCGGTCCAATCGAGTCAGCCTGCCTCCACCGGTGTACTAGCTATCTAATCAATGCCACACAGGTTATATGGTTTGGTGACTTGCTAGCCGATGTGCGCTCGCCAACTGCACTTGTAGGAAGTGGCATCGGTCCCAATTCTAGAACAGAAACTCGGAAGAGAACTCGCGACAGCCAACTTCCGGTAAAAGAAGCACTAGTGATTGAATCCGGATATACGCCCGATTACAGGCTTGCGTCAAAGAAGCGATAACCATCAAATCTTCAAGTATGAGAGCCCAATTGTCCCTAATAGTATACCCCAGCCAAGCGCAGACAAGCCTGAACATATTGGTCCCAGGACTGAGAATCCTAATTCAGTCCACGGTATCTTAGCAGCGCAGCTCTAGATAAACCTAGCTATGCACTGATTGCTCATTCAACCATTTATATCAGTCAACGATTTATATCATTAGAGCTTCTGCGCCTGATCCTGTGGGGCTACCACGAACGTTCCGGCCCGATATCTTCTGGCCCGATATCTTCTCATTCAGGCGCGTGTTCGCAGTCATCTAAATCGGGGTATTTCTGTGTCACCTATAATGATTTTAATATGGGCGTATAATGGACAGTAATAAGACATGTGGTTTAGTTAAGACTCTGTGTAATGCAGTAGGGTTCGTCAGCTCCGGACAGGGGTACCTCCGTATGTTTTCAAGAAGAGGGCGGTTAACAGGCAGGATTAAGAGTTTTAAAATTCTCCTAATACACACCGGTTCTTTCTATGGTTGCGTCTTTATTGACTTTATCTCGCTGTTTTGTCGTCGATCTTTGTTCCATTCCTGTATTTGACCAATGTCACATATAGTTCGCCACTATGAAGCTATCGCTATTCAGGAAGACGAAACCCGGTGTTCCAGAACACAGTCTGTAAGATTGCATTATAGCGAAATGATTTACCGAGCTAATTATGCCGAGGTACCCTACCGAAGGTGCAATTGGGATGAAGGTACTATCTGATCCTTCCAATGCGGATCTGGAGTGAGTTCATCTTCTACTATAAAGGATCTCAAAGTGGATGATACACGAACTAAAATAAGTTGCACAAACTAAAATACATTAAATAGCATTGTTTTCGTCCATGGACTCACCGGCAACCGCGAGAAAACATGGACTCACGAAAACGGAACCTTATGGCCCCGAGACCTTCTTTCCAAGGACCTGTCTACAGCACGCATCATGACCTTCGGCTACGACGTTGACATATTCAGCTTCACCTCAATTACCTTCTCAGACCGACTTTACGACCACAGTCAATCCCTAGCTTTCGCAATCGTCAGCCAACGAATCAACTGCTCAAGCAGACCCATCCTATTCATCGCACACAGTCTAGGCGGCTTGGTCTGCCAACAAGCCTTGATCCTCAGTAACTCTATAGACGGACTATGGGCAATATCCTCAAGTGCCATCGGAATAATCTTCATGGGCACACCGCAATACGGATCATCGCTCGCTTCCTACCGAGAAAAACTCGCAAAGGGGATGAAAATAGTCCACACCGCGAACAGGGATATGGTCGGTGCTCTCCATTTGGGTTCGAACAATGTGCAATTAGCTGGGAATGAGTTCCAGTCCATGCTTCGTCGTGGAGACATCTCGCTCAAGGTCTTCTGTTTCTACGAGGCGAAGAATATGAATGATATAGTGGGCAAAATCGTTGAAGAGCACTTGGCTGTTTTGCCGGGCTATGACAACTGCAGTATCAATGCTGATCATTATAACATGACCAAGTTTACTGGCCATGCAGATGGTGGTTATGGTCTTGTTCGGTCGATCGTTACCGGGTGGCTTCATGAATCTCGTCGTGGTGATGATGCTGCTGCAAACAAGACTACTATGTCCCCTCCTGGCTCTGGAAATCCTGCTTGGTTGGGGTCTTGGACTCCAGGGAACTTTTACTTTACCGGCGGGGCGCTTTCGCAGAGTTACGCTCAAGGACATTCCAATCAGGGTGAGACCTTTGCCTTCGACTGATGGGATATCTGCATGAAATATGGATGTGTCCTTTTTTGCAACTTTTTGGCATCGAAACTGTGTTGTGTAAACCCAATACCTCTCAAAGTTAGAACTACAGACAGAGTTTATAACACAATGCCTTTGTTCCCCCACGTTTCACATAGGGTTAAGACAACCTTGGAGCACGTGCGAACCTGAAACCTTAGGTTTCCCAAAGTTTCAAATATCTGACGGCTGATATTCCTTTGACTTGAAGAACACGCCCTTGGAATACCAACTGCGTCATTTATGTCCGTGAGTGTAACAACTAGTAGCATCTCTTAGTCGCCCGGCAAGCTTGCGGCTGTTCAGATACGACGGTATAGTATATTGGCTGACCGTTCGTGTAGCTGTCACCGGGTTGGCACCTACCTGGGCGCCGGTGTAATAAGCTGGGCTGGGTAGATCATGGTGCCCGGAACGATGCTAATAACCTCTGCTGCATCATGTCCATCGCCCGGGCGCCGGTGTGTTGCCGGGGCTTGACTGTGATTTGTTTCACTGCGAAGGTCTTGGTCTTGTAGAAAGGAGTTATCTGATTCAAGTTGCATTGTTGGCATCGATATCGATGTCAGGGAAATGATATTCGCTAAGAAGATGGTAGTTGATAGAAACCAATGCGCAGATGCGGTTTTGATAGGGCTCTGAATCGGCGAAGCATACTAGGGTATCCTGGATAGAAAAGGCAATCGGGCAATCCCTGCTTTTATTGATATCTTTGACTTTTATACCTGCTTTTTGTCACCGTATGTAGCCTCGATTGGGTTGTAGTATACTCGTATAATAATGATCGGTTAGAAATTATGCAATACTCCTTGATAGGAATCTAGAGTATCTTGTACTATTATTAGAATCCAGATCTAGGGGGAATTCTTGTTTCATCTGGTCTATTTCTGCGTAAACGTCTTGGACACATAAGAAGATCACGGGTAGTCGATTACACGGGCCTTTTTACAATAATTCCTATTATCAGACTCAGGACGATGTTAGTCTGGCCTAGGGCTTGTTTGGCGTTAAAATTGGAATCAAGCATTTTTAGTCGCTTCTTACGGCAGTAGACTACTCGGCAGTGCTCGAGTTTAAGTCTAGATTTACATCTCTGCATCATGGTGTATAGATGTACCGTTTCTCAAACAGTTACAACCGCTTATTTCTGTATAATTCCATGTGTTGAATTATCATTGAACTGAAATGTAGATCCTCGCTAAACAACAGAACTGTTCATTGTCTAAATTCGCCTTGCCTTTTTCCGCTTTGCCTATCAATGTTATACATAAAAGAACCAACCAAAAAGCACAAAGTACAAGCAAGATAATGAAAGACGTCCAAGACATAAACCCTAGTATCGTAATCGTCATCGTCATCGTAGTAATCTGACCGACAACTAAGCCTTTCCAGCCTCCCCTTTCCGATGAATCCTCCTCACATGATCTTTCATATTGTCGACACGACTAAACACCTTCCCACAGCCCTCCCACTCGCAAAAGACACCAGGATTGTGCTTCGCCTCATGCCGAGCACGGTCCTTCTTGCTGCTAAACCCATTCCTCGCAGACTGAGGACATCCCTCATGGCGACAAAAGAGGTACTTGCGGTGACGGTTGAAGTGCTTCCTCAAATCACAGCCTCGGTGAAAAACAGCCTGCGAGGAACAGCCCGGGTGGGCGCAGCGCCAGTTGCCGTCGCCCGTTGGGACGCCGTAGTTGCTTAGGTCACCGGAGCCTGAGCCGGAGCCTGAGCCAGAGGCCGAGCCTGGTGCTGCTGGTGGAGAATCAGGGTCGGAGAAGGAATGTGGTGGCGATGAGGCGGTTGAGGTTGTAGTGGTGGATTGGTAGAGATGGGGCGTTGGAGCTGGGGCTGATCGAGGGGCTGAGACGGATAGGGGCACTGAGAAGAAAGTTTCTGGGATTGGATCGGAGGAATGCGGTGGACAGGAGAGCCACTGCTCGTTCGCAGTGCTGAGTGGAGTGCTGAATGTTGGGTAGGGCTCTGGTTGCACTTCTATTGATGGCGGAAAGCGCATAGAGCTCATGTTTGCGAAGGGTTGTGAATGGTAGAAGTCTTGGGATGGTTCGCTCTCAATGCACCATTTGTCGATTTGCTGGGTAGTATAGCCCGACACCCCCGGGCCGCTCATAGCGAGTGGTAGAGATCCTGGGGGATAGTAGCCTTGAATGAAGGGTGTTGTGGTCGGGCCGATGGGGGTCTCGAAGGAGCGCATATGAGGAGAGTTTGGGAGGGTATCTGCGTTGGATGCAGTTGACCATGGGTATTGAGAGCCAATGGTATCAGTGTCGGTCGATCCTCTTCTCCTAGTGGGATAATGGCCTGGGGATAGGAAAGATCGAGGGTCTGTTTGGGCGTCCATAAAGTCCACCTGTTGAAGAGCGGATAGGTGAGAGCTGCATGGAGCGCCGGTGGGGATATTGGTCAGGCCTCCCAGATGTTGAGGATGTAAGGACTCAGAGTAACCAGCGCTGTCCGTCACAGTGTCGTAGGTACTCTTAGACTTCTGGCGACTAGGATACATGTTGGAGACGTTGGGGATGTCGGGGATGTAGATGATATTGTGGAATGACAGTTCTTCTGCTAATGGAAAAGAGAACTCCCAGTCGATGTATTCAAAGCTTCCTTTTAGGGGAAACCGCTCTGGCATATCAATAGGTGCTTAGTATAAATTTGCTGTTATAAAGGATGTATGAACAGTATGAACAGGTGCCCATGCAGTTGAATATTGTTGCCCGAGATGACCGAGGGACCAATGTGTTATAGAGTTTTGCCAGATTTAGAGCTGAACTTGTCTTTCGGGCTAAGACCTAACGGGTAGTGGATTATTTATGATCATCTCAAATCGAGGAGGCAGTGCTGTAATCTTGAATATCTAGGCGTTCCGCAGAGGAAATTAAAACGTTGACAATACTGCCATGCTTGATATAGAATTGTTGATCATACTGGCTAGGTATCATTGGAGCAGTACGCGGATTGATACCGCTCCCTCGGCTTCGGGGGTTGACTCAATTGTGATTCAGGACGGATGGACTAGGATTACTGGGGCCGGGGGGTCTCCTGGCTTCCCGATGAGAGGATGATCTTCCTGTCATGGCATGTAGACATTGGTTTATCATTTGGATAATTATGGGGACACTTTCAAAGTAGGGCTGAAAGATGACGACGTGGGTCTGCACATTGGCTAGATCGACATCGGTAGATTATGACCAGAGGTTAGGGTTTCATGAATTAACCATGATATTTCTAGGGTATGCATTGTGTGCTCGTATTATTGGCCAGTAAAAAGCCACGAGACGCCCAGGACGCCAGGGATGCCCAGGACCGGTGTTGCGGTGTTCTGTAAGATCCTTTTTGTCTTTTGTACATGTTCGCTATAAACACGTGGAACTGGTTCATGATATCTAGATATTCAAGAGCCTCACCGTGGCAACATTACACAGGACAGGTCTGGAGTTATACATTTAATCCCCGATTGCATGCCATGTAGATGATTTCTGATTCCTTACCTCCAATTGCTTTTTTTTAACCAGTTTCTTAAGGTTCAGTCAGCTTGGAGGTAACGTTAAATCCAAAGGTAGCATCTCTCACGTGGCCGGGGTATCTTACTGGTTGAGAGCTAGGATTGATATCTTGTTGATATCTTTCACCCTCCCGGGGCTATTCTGTATAGTCGATCACTGCGCAAAGTAGGTATAGCGGACACGAAGAAAGTGAGTTCATGTTGAATCTTGGAATCTGGACTTCGAGTTCAGCTATAGTGCCAAAGCCAAAAGGTCCTTTAAGACACCGACGGCTAGCACCGTTTGTGCATTGTGGATAGACGGTGTTCTGTGTTATGATTGGCCAGTTGATGACAAATATGTGCTTATTCCAATGTCCGACCAATCACGTCGTTCGGCGGGGACCAAATACGGGGGGCCGTTCAAAACGAGGGAGCGGTGTCCTCCAATCTGATCGGCGATGAGCCTCACTGTGGCTTCGGGCTTATTATGCAGTCAGTGTGTGAATTGTAACTATTGCATTGTGCGACAGATTATCTGCAAAAACTTCCTAGGAATAGAAAATGTTGGCCTGAATGCTTCTTCTAGAATGGCACGTTGTACGTTGTAAGCTGGTTGTGAGACCGGATGTCTTCGGTCTAAGAATAATATTCGATGGTAGTGTGTCTCAGATTTGAAAAACATAGTATCGCATTTCTAATAGGACGGTCTATCATGCATCTAAATCGTGGCTTATACTAAACCAACCCCCCCAAAAAATCTAGAGATCGTCAAGTCTCCCCAGGGCTGACATGTTTGGTCCGAATATCCCGCCCCCACAATGTCTCAAGTATCCAAGCTCAGACTGCACTGCTTCTACAAAAATAGAGACATATCTGCAATGTCTCAAATTTGGCCCCAAGATCACTAGATTCATCTCATGTATCTCTCTGTGTGTCTTGGATCATACCTGATCTGGCACAGCATCATCTTGTCCAACCAAAAGGGGTGCTTGCTCGCCCGGACCAGGTGTTCCCTTCAGGTCAGGGATGTCTCGGTATAAGACGTAGTGTTGGACGCAGAAGATCGCATCGAAAAAAATTGTGACGTTGCCCAACAGTAGCTTGACCGGGTTTCCGGTGATACCGCTCCAGTCACTTTGAAGGCTGGAGTCAAGCACCAGTTGAAGCAATGAAAGGACACCACCAGACAAATCTAGAAGAATGGTTCCAATGTTCCAGCCTTCTGTAGATTGGCGCTTGTAGTTCAACGACACCTGAGGCATATATTTGACAACGGTGACCAGGAGTTTGACGTACGAAAACGAGTAGATCTGGAAGGATTTTAGCTCTGTTTTCTAATTTCCCCGATGGTTTAAAAGCCCACTGGAGAAGAACGCCTTATTTTCACCTACCACGTCAATCCACGCCCAAGTGGAAGGATCATACCCTCCATCCGGACTTTGCGCCAATACAATGGCCATAACCACCATAGGAGCCAGGATAGACGCCCAAAATGTCCCTGCCATGGTCCAACTTATCCTTTGGAAGCGGGAAATGTGTAAACCCCAGATGAAAGGCCAGAACTGTGTGTATAGCATGATGGTCAATACCACCGCGTGGGCCGCAAATGCGAAATCGTTGAACCGGACGGTGGGATCAACCGAGGCAGGGTGGCGGGCCGCATATTGTGAACGAATGACGGGCGAATAGAGAAACGCGGAGGTATATATCGTATAGCAGGCAAATCCCAGAGGGTTGATAGTAGATAAATCAATAGATAAACCGACTGTAGACTTGCGTTTCCAGTTGGTGATAGGCTGCGGGTAAAAGGACCCTGACCAACAGATCATGCTGCGCTCGAGTTAGCCGTCAATTTAAGTAATACATGAGATATAACCTCGGAATCACCACGTAGACTTACTATGCCCATCCTAAACACCTGGAATAAATCGGTTAGTCATGCTCACAATACCCGGTGGCAATCGGGTACAAATAGGAGCTCACAAACCGGGATAAAGCGCTGATAAATATCTCTAGTTGAGGAGTCATGGTGGATTGAGGACACTCATTACAAATTGGTCAAGCGGGGAAAGAAGAGAAGGTGTGGATGTAATGATTGGAGCTCTCTCCAAAACAGCACGCAATCGTGTGATAAGATCAGCTGAGGATGAGACGGATAAGATAAAGGAGTAAACAGCCTAGCTGATTTGGGAAGGCGGTCACAATGTAGATCCTGAGTCAGCGGCTGGTTGGCCCGGTGATGTGTTGTAGGAAAACAGATGACTGGGGGAATTGCTCAGCCTCTTGTTGTGATTCCTCTCTGCCCGAGGTTCCTGTGCGACGTGCATTTTTCTATTTTATTTCGATTGCGTTGTTGGATGTTTTTTCAATCCTAACCGGACCTCAATTCCGAATTTGTACGACTTTATTTCCTTCCTCTCCTTGCGCTCCGCATCGACTTCTACTCTACGACCCTCTCGAACCATACTTAGATCTCGTGACACAACCCATTTCGCGACATAAACTAGTTAATATACAGTCAATTGTGCCATCTGTCATTGGGCATTCCAGTTGAAATTTTGATCCCGTTATCGCATGGTGCATTCCCCGGATCGGGAGATCTCGAAAGATCTCCTTCGGTAAATTCGACATTCCAGACTGAAGATCGCGAGGTCGTTCGAGAATTATCCGCAATATGTCAAACTCAGATCTCGCCGCGGCGGGAAGCAGCACATATGCATCCAATACCCTTCATGTTGGGGATGGCACCTGGGACTCTGGACGGGATACCTTCTTGCTGCCCAATTTGATGGGTGTCAACTTTGAGACGATGCGATACAATGGTTAGTTCAACGCATTAACAACCTACGCTTTGTAATTATGACTAACGTGTTACAGGCATGGGAAACCGTTTCAAGGATATGGCAGGGTACCATTCCATAATCATCGCGCACGGCGTCATTGCAACAATCGTTTTCTTGGGCATTGTTCCAACATCAATTTTCCTAATCCGATACTACTCCCGATGGAATCCTTACTGGGCATTTAAATTGCATGCTTGGTGTCAGGTCCTCACCTTGCTCCTGACCACGGTCGTGTTTGTGCTTGGGTGGTTCGCCGTTGGGCCGGAAAGAAGCCTAACCAATCCCCATCATGGAATTGGCCTGGCAATCTATGTTTTGGTCATTTTCCAAGTGCTGTGGGGCTGGTTCCTACACAAGAAGGAAAGTAAGAGACAGCGAGTCCACGTTCCTTTGAAACTAGTGGTAAGTGACGCCCCAAGAAGGGGTATATGGGCTTTCCTTAACATATTCTAGTTACACCGATGGATGGGTCGTGCTCTTTTACTTCTCGGCATTGTACAAATTCCACTAGGACTCACGCTGTACGGTTCGCCAAAGGTCCTGTTTATCCTATTCGCTATAACAGCCTTCAGTTACTTGGTTCTTTATTTTATACTTTCCTACCGATATGATGTCGAAGGATATCACATGGGAAGTGAGCATGGTGGTGGCCACAGCCAGTACACAGGACCTTCAGAGGTTTCAGAGCACCATGGCAATCACACGGGAGCAGCTCTCGCCGCCGGCGCTGCAGGCGCTGGCTTGGCTTCAATGTTTCGACGACGTACAAGTAGTCGCCACCCAAGCCATGCTTATGAAGACTCTCGCACATCTATTTCTGATGAAAAATATTCCGATGAATCTTCCCGCCATCATGGTGGTGGTGGAGGTGGTGGTTTCGGCAAGAAACTCCTCGAGATTGGCGCACTGGCCGGGGCTGCCCTCATGGCTAAGAAGTTCTGGGACCGTCGAAAGAAGCGAGAAGACGATGCCGAATCTGGTCGGTATAGACCTGCCCATTCGCGCAATAGTAGCCACACTGATGAGTCTCTCAGCAGAATGGAGGATGGTCGACCGGAGCCCACGCATCACACACCCCTTAATCGACCACCAAGTCGTGTACCAAGTCGGTCCCAAAGCCCGGGTTCTTCTTACTACTACAACAGCACATATTTCACCGAGCCGCCTAAGCGAAGCGCTTCTCATGGAATTAGAGATGCTGTTCTGGGTGCCGGTGCTTTTGCTGCCGTGAAGCGGCTGTTCAGCCGCGGTAAAAAGGACGATGAAGAAAAACGGCGTCTGGAGGATATCAAGCGCCGAGAAGATGAAGACGAGGCGTTGCAGAGAGCGAACAGCAGACGACGACCACAGGCGGGAGAAAGTTTCTACCCACGAAGAAGGGCCAGTTCATACAGTGAAACTGATCTCACTGAAACCGATATATCCCGTCCTCCACCCCGGCATACATCACATGGGGAATCTCTTCTTACTGCAGAGCCTCTCGCCTCCGGTGCTATCCCTAGCGCTGTATCAGACATGCCACCTATGCCCCCGAGTCACCAACAGTTCTCTGGTGACTTGAGGCCTGAAGCTCCTCCCTCACGTCACTCCCTCGCCCATGATGGAGCAGAGTTTGCATCCGGTGCAGCCGCTGGTGCAGCACTAGATGTGGCCTCCCGTCGCAATCGGAGCAGCAGCCGGCGCCGAGGCGACGATGTTGCTTCCCCGCCAGTATCTGTGAAAGTGAAAATGCACAATGACGGACGGCATGTGACACTCCGTAGGCTGACTGAAGAGGAAGCAGCCGCGAGTCGTGATGCCCGTCGCAGAGAGCGAAGAAACTCTCGACGTCGCAACAGCAGTGCGGGTTCCTTGTCCGGCAACGAAGACGCCGGCTACGACCGCTGGCGTCGCGTCGAAGAACTCGAACGTCGACAAGACGAACAAATGCGACGTGAACAGGCTGCTGCTTCTGCTGCTCAGCTTGCACCTCCACATCCATCTATGGCCCCTTCAGGGAGCATGCCTGCATCCTCATGGGCCGCGCCGCCCTCCCAAGTCAGCCACATGCCGCCCCCACCTCGCATGCCTGCTCCTTCCACCATTCCGTATGGAGCAAACAGTGTCACTTCGCCTACATATACCGGTACTGAGATGAGTGGCTCGTACGCGAACAATCGTCGCCGCAGACGTGCTGAACGAGCCCGCACCCGACAAGAGAGGCAGCAGCAGCATGGCGTAGAATTCACTTGATCGCTTTCTTGGTACCGTCTAGCATCCTCCGTTTTCCCTTTCTCTTGTGTCTACTACAGATCCAGCTTACGACATGTACAAAACGATTTATGTGCTTCAGAGCCGTGTTGATATAAATTATCCCCCCTTGTCACGGTGCTATGTCCCCCCTTTTGATATGTTTTCTTTTCTTGAATGTGCTTTTCGAGGCGACGAAATGATTTTTTAGCTAGCTTTTCCTTTCTCATCTCTTTCTTTTTCTGATGCCAGCGATTTAATGGATCTTTTATTGGGTTGTTGGGTGGTTTTTTTGCTAGTCTTGTCTTCACCTGTGCGTGGTATTGGTGATCTGCCCTATCCTTTTGGCGGTTATCCAGAGGCTGTCGCTTGGAATTATTTTGCAGAAATAAACTTAAAATAGCTTGAAAGTCGATTAATCTTGAGCAATCTTCTGTGTCAGTAAACGTCCTTACATTGGACCTTAGGTATAGATGGTAAGGAGCTTAGGGTTTGAAATATTTCCCTAAAAGCTATGTCTCATAGTAAGAAGATGGGACTTATACACAGTGGGGGTCGTCATCGGTAATAGCCCTAGAGACTCGATCTAAAGAATGGTTATCGAGCCTCAAAGTATGCTACTAGAATCTTAAGGCCTGCTATATAAGCCGCTAAAGCAGTTCTGAACCCAAGCCTATAACAATGTGGTTAAGGCATTTAAGATACCGTGAAAAACGACCATTTAAATCCGCTTCCAGCCTACCCGCTAACAGTTTGTACGGCCATCCATTTCTATGCTGGAAGTTTTAAGATACTCTTCCACAATTTCCAGGCCAAAGAATTTGCAATTTATTTTCGGCGCCTCGATTAATTACAAACATGGCAGGAAAAAGCCCATGAGCACGGGCTAGCTTTAAACTTCTTCTGTGTCATCGTGCTGTTCACAACTATCATTGGCTCTATCCCACGGAATAATGCCATCGGACTCACGCAGTTCCCGGTCGAGATGGTAGAGACCAACGCCAGGCTGCTTGGAAACTCGAACTACCTGCCGTAGAAGGTCTGCGAGGCTTTTAACGTGCCTTGTCTCCTTGCGAATAAATCTGCTTTGAATAGCATCTGTCAATGCAATATCGCCTGCTTTGTCGGCTAACGAGCAAAGCCGTTGCAGATCTTCTAACAGATTCTTCTCCACGAGAAGTGCTTCTTTACAGGGACCGACTGGCTCGATGGGATTATCGGGCCACTCGAATGTGGTCGCTTCAATGGCGGTGGGTTTCGAGCGTCCACCACGTGACACGAGGTATTTCTCCAGCCACTTGAAATCTGCCAAGCACTCGGCTGCTGATCGTTCCCAGAGTCTGTATGTTGTATATCATGTTAATATATTGAAGGTATTCCCCCATACTCCTAAGGTATGCTTACCGTGCAAATCCATGCAGGGAGATGTTGCTTCGGGTACAATCAGCAGCCAATTTACGGAAGAAGAGCCAACTAGTCAGCTCCTGGTGAATATGGCCACGGACGGACTGAAAGAGTCAGATGGAGGGTTTCAGCCAATTTTGTACTTGGAATTCCAAAGAAAGTATGGAATACCGAATACACATACCTCTTCAACTTGCACCGTGAAGGAACCCGTGCGCACTAACTGATCAAGGTCATGATTGGAAACCTCTGCGATGATCTTCTTTGCTCCTTCTGCGGTCGTCATATTGGGAGCCTTCGTTAATGATAATTTTGAGTAAACTTTGGATAAACCTTGGAAGTATACTAGATTGTTAAGGCCAAAGTGCCAGAGAATATTAACTTCCCGCTCTATATATATTGACTTCTGCAATGTTTGCCATCGGCTTCAGCACGTAATTTTGACGACTTGGTTATATCATGGTCGAAGGCGGCTGAAAGACTAGCGAATTAATTTAATTCATACCAACTTATATCAGGCTATAACACTGCGGGATTGGATCTAGTCGTGCCCATTCGGTCACGCATTACTGATGAAATGGTTGACGAATTTTATAGTCATAGTCACTTTCGAGATTCAACACTGGAAGGCTTGAGATGGACCTCACTGTATAGATGGTCTTGATCGATCTTCGCAGCTGATGAACATGAATATCTGGAGCCATGAAGAGGTGATTAAAAGGCTCTCGAGTTCTCAAGTTAATCGTGTCATTATGAGTTAGTAACTGACAGAAATCTGACGTATTGAAATGTATGGACCTCAGGGCTGATATGGAGAACTCTGCATTTTCTATATAATAGAAACTGCTGTTTCTGTGCGGTTAATGACTAAGCTTGATTACATAATCTGTATCATCCCATGTATGCAACCCTGCACTTCGACACACCCCCCAGCTCTTAAAGCCTGCATTTTTCTTGGCTTTCAGAGCTGCCAATCCTTCATTTTTCTCTCTCCTCTGGATGAATCAGATGCCTGATTTCTCTCATCCCAATCATCTCTCGGAAGAGATGCTGCTTCTGTCTTGGAAGCGCCTTTGTAAGTCCATCTGTAGGCATCGCTGTAGTTAGAATCTAGTCCACTTTGACTCTGCCTACACTAACTTCCTACTTCATCTAGGATCGATTGATATCTATATGCCGCAGCTTCGTATATATCGTCGATCCTTCCTTCGTAAGTAGATCGACTATCTACTGATTGTCGTATATAATAGATAAGGGATAATCTAGTTAGAAGCTAAGTGCTTTAAGGACTCTACGCCACTATTAGACGGTTTTTCCGGCTTCTACTAGAGTAAGAAGCTCTACCTTAGTTGTCGACGTTATCACCGTCTTTTGCTTCGATGCTTTCTAATCGATTAGACCGCTATATAACTTATAGATATAACCTTCCGAACTCTTCCTATCTTTATTATCTCCGAATGAAGCATCGCTTACAAATTCAACTAACTTTATAGTAAACTAGAGACCCTTTATTTTGTTTAAACCGAGTTTATTATCTAGTTCTTATCGTCTAATGCTATACTCGATAGCCTAAAACCTAGTTTTATAGAGATATTAAATCACTCGGTCGATAGTATCGATATACTTCGGACCGGGGTTTATTAGAAATTTAGCTAGCTTAGCTATAGCTTTTACTATATCTAGCCGAGAGATAGTAGTAGTATACTAAGTAGATCTAACCTTAGCCTAGAAACTATAAATCTAGCTCGGTAATACTACTCTATCGTACGGAAGAAGGGATTCTAGAGTTAGGGGAGATCCTACCTTCCGAGTAGTAATTAAGCTATACTTAGCTATTATACTTTTAATATAACTATCTTAGTATAGCTAGAGTTTTATCTAATCTCTATCTCTAATAATACGGATATTTAAGAACTAGTTTACTTCTAGTTCTTATAATTCCTATTGCTTCTTAATATTATTATCTAGCTTAGCTACCTACTTAGTATAGTAAGGATCTAGATAGTTTATAATAATAATATTATCTATATAAAAGAAGACGATAATACTATTCTTAATAAAGATATACGGATCTTCCGGCACTAGGGTAAGGCCTAGTTTTACTAGTATCCTTATTACTTCTTTCTACTACAATCTTAGTAATATTTATAAGCCGTAGAGAGCTCTATAGAGTAGCTAGTATTAACCTTATACTTCGAATCCTTACGGGTACTTAGTATAAACCTTACTTTAGAGTACTAAGTTTAGGAATATATTAACCACGTCTCTCTATATTATATCGAGATTAAAAGCTACTACTAAGGTAAAGATTGCTCTTACTATTTTGATAGCTAGGGTAGCTACCCTTTTCTCTTCTATCGATATCTATTAAAGATTACCTCTAACGTAGATTCTCGCTTTAAACTTCTCGAGAAATCTATCTATATCAAATTTATAGGTAAAGACCTATTTTAAAGGTAGTACCTAGATTCCTCTTTGATTCGGAATTAGTACTTTGGTATAGGTTTCTTTCTTCTTAAGTATCTAGACTTCGAAGCTTACCGCTACTATAAATCCTTCTCTGAACCGGTACTTCTTAATCTATACCTAGTTTTCTAGTAGCGGGGGAAGTTTATCTCAGTAAAGCTTCTTATCGAATCTTTTACTTATGCCTATAGAGAAGGTATATAGTAAGCTTAGTAGCTCTGTTTTATCGAGAGATAGGTATATAGTATAATCTAGATCCGTCCTTGGTCTCCTAGATCTGCTTCCCGTGATAATATTTGATATATTAATATCTCTAAATATATCTCTCGGCGCCGGTACTAGTAAGTATGTTATTTCCCTTTGAAGCTACCTTTCAACCTCTGTTTCGTCATCTATCTCATCTTCTCCTAGTTCTACCCCCTTAGATTCGATCGACGGGATCTCGGTGATCTGATCTAACGTCGATATAGCTTCTCGATATACCGGATCCGATAGAATCGATAGATTTAGGGATACTAAGGCTTGATTTGATGGTAATAATGATGATCTTGATGGTAGTAGGGAGGATAGCATATCTGGGAAGCTACCTGGGAAGCTCCCTAGTAGGCCTCTCTGGGGATTTATTTGCTCTCCTATTGTTTGCTCTCCCTTTATTTACTCCCTTGGTCTGATTATTGACTGCGGGGTAGGTAATCTAGCTGCTTCCTTTCTAACCTGTAGTAGGATTCTCTGCTTAACCTCTTCTTTATCATTATTTCCATTATTTCTATTAACTAGATCATTAGCTGTATTAGCTGTATTATCTACTATATCAACTGTATCATCTCTGGCTTACCCAGTGTGCTTAGTTTTATTATATAGTGCTATCCTAGCTATCGATCTAGGCATCTCTATCTAGGTACTGATCTTAGCCTATGCTTTATTATTAGTAAGTACCTACGGCTATATATCTAGTCTATCTATTATGGTACTAATAGTATCTTCTTCCTTAGGCATCGATTTCGAATACCTCCTTGATTTATCGAAAACGGTATCTCTAACGACGTCTACCCTTCTATTTCGGCCTTTATAGGGGAACTATATCTTATATAGGTTCTTAGAGATATACCCTACGAGATATCCTATCTCTATTCTAGGTGCTATCTTATCCGACTGCACTCTCTTGATGATTCTCGAGTACGTTAGATAGCTATATAACCTTATATTTGAAAGGTTAATCTCTTAGTAATAGATGCTATTTAGTACGGTATACTTTATTAGTTCTTTCTAAGGTATGATCTATTAATTCTTACCGGTATTATCCTTAATCTACGTAGGAGTCCTATTTAGGATATATACCGCTATATATATTGCCTTAGGCTAGAGAGTCTTAGGGAGATCTATATTATTAATTAGAACTCTAGTAGTTCTTACTACTATCCCCCTAGATCTCTCGGCCGGACTATTTATCTCCGGTAAGCTAGGTAGCGAATACTTAATTATATATCCCTCGGCTTCTATTATTATTTTAACCTCGAGACCCGTACTCCGCTTATTATTATAGTAGAATACTCTAATCTCGATCTTTAGCTAGTTCTTAACTAATACTAGGAACTTCCTAACAACTATTTAGTATTCACTTTTCTTAGTATATATAAAGATAAAGTAGCACTTAATACTATTAAGGTAAAAATACGTTATCTAGATATATCTATTATAAGTAGTTTAATTCTATACTAGATCGAAGTAGATACGTCTAAATATATTATATACTTAGCCTATTTTCCGGCGAGAGATTTGCTTCGGGGTATCTACTAATTAATAAGCTTTATATACCTACTCTTTGCTAGGGTTGCTTTTAATAGTAATCCCCTTAGTTATCTCTACTAGCTTAGTAAGACGTTACTAACTAATATAGCCTAGGCGCCTATACTAAGTTTAGATCGAAGCTTCTGACTTTAGTTCTCTTACTGACTTCTTTATAGTAAAAGCCAATCCTTTACTAGTTAGTTATTTTAACTATATTAACTTCTAATCCTAATATACTTAGTATACCGGTTTCTTAGTTAATTTAATATAGTTCTTCCGGAAGTTTATTACTAGCCCCGCCTTTATTATCAATCTATTAGATATTAGATTACTATAGAAATTAGGCGAGTACTTAGTGTTATATAGCTTTATTTTGACTACTTTACTACTATCGACTACGCTAATACTATAGATTACTATAGTGCCTACCCTATCGATACTTATTTCCGTATCCCCTACCCTAACGCTACTCTATACATCTTCGAAAGTTTTAAATAACTCCCGATTATTATAGATATACATCTACGCGCCGGTGTCGACTACCTATCTCCGTCTAATTAGTTCGGCTTCGTAGATTTAGGTAGATATAATAGTGGTAGAGGTTAGAATTTACTTACTAGCCGCCGGCTTGCCTACCTAGGGCTTACTTTCTTACTTACTTGCCTAAGGCTCGCTGGCCTATAGCTTAGTTTCCTATAGCTTACCTACCTTTAGTACGCCGGCCTATAGCTTAGCTGCCTTTAGCTCGCCGGCCTAGGGTTTTCCTACCTATATAAAGAAGAATCTATATAATAAGTCATCCTCTTCGTTATTAAGGGTGGTATTTGCTTACTACGCTGCCTTCCCTTATAGGTTTTCTTAACGTCTCTTATCAACCTAGGCCTTCTAAGTAGGGTTAGCCTTTATAGCTTTCTCCTATTTCTACTTAGCTTCTTTATTTCTAGTATACTTAGAAGGTTTGTCCTTATTAAAGACGTCCTAATACTTCTAAGATAGGTGCTATCTATAGTTCTATCTATATAGATATAGCTTTAATTTAAACAGTAGTTCTTCTCTAGCTAACTTTATATTAGCTGACTTTGTCTTAGCTAGCTTTACTTCTTCGTAGCCTTACTAAGTCGAAAAAGCAGCTTTAGAAATACCCCGTTGATTAGTAACTAGCTTACTATAGGTAATCTTCTAGTAAGCTCGATACCGGTTAAAAAGCTTAGTAAATCCGATATCTTCTTTATCTTATAGTCTTAGAGTCTATATCTCGTAGAATCTAGGTAATATTACTAAGATAGTATTAAGGAACTAAGTCGAAGTATTATTTACTTCTAGTATTCCTACTCTTTTATAGCTTAATTAAACTATCTCCTAGTTTAATAACTATTTATTAATATTTATATTTTTATCTAACCCTCTATCTAGGCTTCTCTATTATTAACAGAGCCTAGTAGAATAGGTCGGATTATACTCTAAGGCGAACCTTTCTTAAAGGTTTCGGAGTAGACTATATAGAGTCTTATAGTCTATAATAAACGGCTAGAAGTTTACGTAAACGCTATTCCGGATTATCGTTATAATTATACTTAACCTCTTCTTTTCCTAGGTATAGAGCGTGTTCTTTATCGACTAGTTCGATTAAATCACTTTATAAGTATCGACCTATTTATCGCTATACTTCTTCTCCGCTTCTTTAATCGATATAATCTCTACCGGAGCTTTCCGTATCTCCGGTTCTTTTTCCTTACTAGGATTATATAGCTCCTAAACATTAAATTATACTACAATCGATTCGATATTAGCGATCTATATATCCTAAGTTTCGGTGTCCTTAAGGATAACGCGGGAGGATGGACCCGCGGAGAGATAATCGGCCATAATTTAGACAGATTTCCGATTCTTTCTTCGATTCAGGGGTTGCTTCGTCGCTAGGTAGATTACCTTAGTATCGATAGAAGTAGGGTTGATCTTTGAATTGATGTTTAATGGAACAAAGCCGGGCTCATAACTGACAGAAATCTGACGTATTGAAATGTATGGACCTCAGGGCTGATATGGAGAACTCTGCATTTTCTACATAATAGAAACTGCTGTTTCTGTGCGGTAATGACTAAGCTTGATTACATAATCTGTATCATCCCATGTATGCAACCCTGCACTTCGACAGTAACTACTCGAGTTTGTTTATTGCTTGTCAAATGTTGATCTATAAGTAGACCTCTGCATAGCCCAAACCTTCCTTTTTGACACTTGCAAACCGTCCGAAAATATAGAGATGCCTTCATTTGTATAGAGACGAAAAGCTTCATTTTCATTCCTACCTAGTTAGGTACCTTCCAAGGTTGTACATTGCTTACTAAGGGATCCGTAATGGTACCTCACGTATTTTTATTTTCCTGTCAGGCCAAACTAAGGCATTCAGGCACTAAAATCAGGCATCCGTATACATACGCGCTGGGGACATCCAATGAAGCTCCCACAGAGTCATAGCTACCAAAAGCAATACCGCTATTTTCTCAATTATTGTTACTGTCCTTACTTTTTATTTTAGATAGAAATGGCACATTCTTTTTAGGTGGCTCCATTGCTAAAATATGTTTAATGCTTTCAGCCACAAAAACGTACAAAGTAGAGCAAGACTAAACCCATCCGCGCGACACAGGAAGATACCCATAGAATATGCTGCATACAGTATGAACCGAATTCGCTGGTCCGCATATCATCTCCATCTTGTTCAATCTCAAACCATCACCACCCTAAGGGAGGGTGTAGCTACTCAGTCCGAATGGCCGGTGTCCGGATTCCACTGACAACAGCAAGACACTCCGCATTTGGACAGCACAAAAGCGACGATGCTCATCAGTAGATACAGTAAGGCCCTGGTAAGGTATAGCATTACAGCGCCGGCCCAGGTGTTGGCAAATGGGTGCGTTGTAGAGAAGATCACGCTGAGAGGAAGCAGTACGACTATCGCAGGAACGATGAAGCAGACGTGGAATAGCAAGTCATCAATGGTCGGGTGACAAGTCTTACGTCCGAATTCGAGAGGAAAATGCGGAGAAGGTTGTTGAGGGACGTCAGTCCGAGTCACTCGAAAACTGAAAGCGTACTTTGGTGCTTTCTCGGTGGATGAACTAGACGCAGGTCGTGTTTTGTACAGCGAAAATGAAACAGCAAAAAATGCAGGGAGTTTCTGCTCGGTGTTACTCGGAATTCTCGAATTATCGGCAACAGGAGTGTCGCCCACTTTGCCGGCTCTCACTTCTCGAGCACCATTACTCAAGCCAACACGAGCGAGGAACGATGGTGGGCGTGTTTCACGATATGGCAAGCTGGAGAGGGACGAATCAAGCAAATCATGATTCTTTGGGATTCGGGGTGCCAAAGACTGCGTTCTTTTTGTGGCCATTTTGCTTGGTGAGTTTTTTTCGAGAGTTCACGCGACCAGTGACCTTCCATTTCTGGTGTTGTTTCTTCTGTCGATGCAAAGCAACATAATCCTGCCTTCTTTCAATCGAAGGTTGGGGACGGCGTGTCGCAGGGGAAGGCGGAGACAGAGAGGCCGGAGGAGAAAACCGAACGCATCGCAGCGGTGAATCTGGATCGCCATATTTGTTGAAGGTACTGGCATTTACGCCTGGCTGATGACTCGACAGGACTGCAATAGGAGGTTTGATCCACTGTCGGCGGCCAACGGAAAGGTGTCGCGATTTTGAGGGTTTGGGGAATTCGCTTCCATCGTCTTCACGAACAAAGCTTGCCTCTGGCGAATCTTGGAAGCAATCGAAATTGAATTCCTCCATCTGAAATGTAGGACTCGTCGGTACGTTCTCCATTTTATGGCAACCAAGGAACTCAGTGTATTCCTCCACGCTCTCTCGTTCGCTATTTGATGCGGGTGTGTTTTGGGGATTCAATGGCTCAGCGAGACCATCAAGGGTGTGGTACTTGTCCACAGCGACATCCAACTCAAGTCGAGGACACTTTCGGCTAGAATCGAAACTATGGAAGGACTCGCGAAGTTCGGGGACTCGGTGAGCTTTGTTTGGGTTTGCTTCTGCTTCTGTCTGGTTGACTGGCTGTCTTTGGTCAATTCCATCAAGCCTGGTCAACGGCGTAAAGAGAGGTGCAAAGATGTGATCCGTAGGTGAGTCCGTCATCGTCAGTCGAGTATCCACGACGCCGAGAGGGTCTGACTTGATTGATTTAGCAGGTGCCATTTCTGCACGGTCAGCTGAAGGTAAAGGTGGATGGCCGTTGGAGTGAGACGGGGAAGTCAGGTGCTCAACTCCCAAGCATGGAAGGTGCGCTCCCCCTCTACTGCATAAAATGAAGACAGAAGAAACGACATAATAAACAAGTATAATTAGAGGGAAATGGAGAATTGATATAATTCTACAGATTCATGGTTGGTGCGATAATGGTTATGTACATCAAGTCTATTTGACGTGAGCCTGGAGGGTCTCGAGAACCTATTCAAGAAAAGAAAAGTCAGTATTTAATCAGACCAATGGTCCCGGCGAGTTCATACCTCAAGCTCAATCTTGGCCTCAGCGATATCCTGCTCGCTGCCACTGCCGCTGGAAATCTTCTGGGCCTCAGCGATCTGGGCGCGGATGGACTAAGAAGGAAGTTATGGTCAGCTTGTGTCGCGATGCTGCGAAGAAAAATAACCTACATCGGCGCTGAAGTCCTCAAGGGCGAAACCCTCGACAGCGTTGATGCTGAGCTGGGAGTCGGGCTGGACAACGGCGAAGCCGCCGGACACTATACAAGTAACACCATTGTTAGTTAATCAATTCCAATTGACAAGAGACCAGATTTGCGGGATGTCTCAGGGCGCGAGGATCGGACGTACGGAAGTACTGCTTGGTGGCACCGCTCTCCTCAAGGATCTCGACGAGACCGGGGTTGAGCTGCTCGATGGAGGGAACGTGGTTGGCGAGAACACCCATCTCACCGGAGGCGGCGGGAATGTTGACCTGGGTACTATAATCGCGGAGGTTGGTCAGTACTTAGGAAACGGGTGTAGGCACCGTCGACGCGAGCGCAATTGGAAGCATAACATACACGCCAGTCGAGCGGTAGATGGTCTGTCAAGCAATTATCAAGTCAGTACGTAGGCTATGATGTTGGGATGCCGGCCGGAGTTCGTTCACGCACCTGGTGAGGCAGAGTCAGGGACAGCTTGATCTTGTCGGCGACAGCCTCAGCGTAACCACGGCGCTGGACGGGAGCACCGAGGAAAGAAGGGCGAGCCCGGAGGGCAGAGCGAGCGAAGCGGAAGGAGCTCATTTTGCAGTGGTGGATGACGTGCAAAGGCTGGATTATCCCTCTTGAAGTTGCGTTGCAAAGGTCGAAGTCGGAATGCCGGTTGTTCCCTAGCGGCTGGTCACGTGGCACGGGAATTCAACGGCCGGACTATGGCCAGTATGAGCTGTGTTGACTACAGTTATTCTACGCATATTTTCATGAGAACACAAGGAGAAAACATATTGTTTCATTTAGTTCCCTATCTATTCCGGTATTTGTCTGCTTTAGAATTTATATTCTTGCCAGAAGTTCGATTCCAAAGGTGACCTTTTGACGTCGAGAACAACTTCGTCGAGAAAGTCTCGCTAGTAATAGGACACAACGCATAGTAACCGTGTACTAGACTTGTTACTTTTATGTTACCTCCGAAATCAAGTGTTCTTCATCCAGACAGCAGTACTTCCCAAGGTTACTTGCCGAGGGGGAAGTATGCCAATCACGTGATGTGTATGGATATAAGTCACGTGTAGGTTAATGGCAGAACCAAGTGAGGAAAAGTCACAGACTGAAGAACCGTAAAAAGCGAGCTAAAAAGACCCAATTTTGAATTCCTAGACCAACTGAATAGAATAGAATAGAATACACTACGATATCGAAATATTACGACGTTGTTTAGGACAATCTTGCAAGTAACAAGCCACCTAGTGACGCTGTAGTATGTACACCGCCCGATAAGCGAGATCCCACAAACGGAACGAGCCCTAGCCGACCCTCTAAGGCCTGACGTCCCTATTCCCACTCCTCTCCATCATCACACCGTCAATCAGAGACAACATCCGACAAGATGGCCAGTACGTTCTCACCACGATCCTATGACCTTCGCTCAACTGCACGCTGGCGAAAGAGAAAAAAAATAAGGCGATGGCGCTGACATGATTTTCACCCACAGAGTCCAAGAACGCGTCCCAGCACCACCGCAGCCAGAAGGCTCACCGTAACGGGTACGTCTACCCTTGAAATTCCTCGATCACCCTATTTTACTTGCCCGACATTTCTCTCAATCGATTCAATGGACATGGTGGAAGAAGTGCTGGTGTGCGAATGATTTTATCCGGTGTGATAATTTCGAGGTCACGACTTGAATACTCGCCCGGGCAATCTTTTTGAACTACTGCATTCGACCACCATTCGTCACACCACTTCAACCAGGACCGAATCGCTGATATATATCTCCTCGAATAGTATCAAGAAGCCCAAGACCAACCGTTACCCTTCCCTCAAGGGTGTCGACCCCAAGTTCCGCCGCAACAACCGTCACGCTCAACACGGCACCATGAAGGCCCTTGTACGTTGACCACAACCCGAACCCAACATCAAAGACCCACCACCCATGACACGGAATACTGACCCATTGAACAGAAGGAGCGCAAGGAGGGCAAGCGTGAGCTCGCATAAATTATGAACTCAGTCTTAAAAAAATGGGAAACATGAAATGCAACTCGAGCGTGCAAGAGGTCCAGAGAACATAACGTGTGCGATGATCAAGGACGGTCCGCTGTGTCGAATAGGCCTGGTTTTTGCTTATTCCTTGCGCGACGAACCTCGAGTTGTTTGATATCGAGAAATCAACAGGCTTAATTCGATGTGCACAGCGGTGCCCTTTTCCCAAGCGGAATCTCTTCTGCTATATCCTCTTCTTTTTCCTTCCAGACTCGAGGGCTCGACTTCGTCTGTGTTGCGGCCCTTGAGCTTAGTCTCTTCCCCTATTTTCCCCAAAACCCCCGTCCGGCATATGTGTGTACAGCTGCGTGCTTTTCTCATGCGCGATTGCTGAAGGATTTTTTTCTTAACGTGCCAAGAATAACCCCCAAGTCCCCGATTGCTATATATCCTGTCTTGATTCTTTTCGATCGTGACAGGGTTCATGGTCAGGGGGACTACATCTCGTAAAACAGTAACAGTAATTTTCATACTTAGCCCTGTTCAATCAATTCATTTACATCTCTCTACTCTCGCTTTCACGTCCATGATATTCAAATTGCCACACCACAGTTATCGAGTATAGTTACAAACGTCATACCTTCCAAACAACCAACCTTTTATCAAACCCACCACTGATAACCCATTCCTCCCAGACCGGGTCACCCTCAGTCTGGGGTACAGCAACATACCCCGACCAAACACTTCTCACCTTAAAACCCGGTTCATGACCACCTTTCAACGTAGCAATGACCTTCCCCGTCTTCGTCTCAATGCCACGAACAACACCATCATCCCCATTAACCCAGACTCCAGATCCATTAGGCCGCCATGCCACCCGCGGTGTGGAGTAATCAGTTTGCGGGGCGAAAGTGTTCGCCTGCACGAGGATAGCAGCATCCTCGCGGTTCTGCAGTTCCAGTGTTGCCAATGCTTGAGACGTCTGTGTCACCGGGTCCTCCAAAGCAGGCGCCGTGTTCACTGCAGGGAATAGCAGACGCACGATGATCACTTTCATACTGGGCAATGTCGACGTCGCTACGGCCAGGAGACCGGGGTCGTGTGGACTGAGCACCATATGGGCCGGCGAGAACGTAACCCAGGCATTGGAATGGGGAGCCAGGTTCTGCTGTCCAAGGAGGCGAGCTTCTCGCGGGGACTTCTCAGCATCGCCTCCGTCGTTTTCACAGGGAGTATCGGTTTCTTCCGATGCTGCTTCTACCTGGTAGTAGTAGATACAAGTCGAGTCTCTGCGCGAGACGAGGAGCAGTAGCTCGTCGGTGTCCACATGTGGGACAAATAGCAGGGATTCCGGGTTTGAAACGAGTTTAATGCGTGCAACGGGCTCACCGATCTTGAGAGCTGGTGCGTCTGCTTCGTCGGGGATATTGAGGCAATATAAGAAAACACACTCATCCCACCCGGCGGTGGCGGCCCACCACTTGGAAGGATCGGCCTTGTCTTCGTAGGCTACCACAGTCACCACGTACTTTGCATGATCCTTTCTGTTGTCCAACGTTTGGGATCCATGCTGGAGGAGCAGCTGTCCGGACATGTTGGTCATGAGAATGTACCGGCCCTGGAGAATCGAGGTAAATGATAGAACAGGTGAATTAGAGAGGTTCGAGAATGATTTGATAGCTGTGTTGCCTTCTGCTGTATCGAGTAAATGGACTTGTTTGTCTGCACCCGTAGAGACGATATAAGGCTGCGCTGGTATAGCGTCTGCGGCGGCTTCATCGGCATCGCCGCGGGGTTTCTGCCATTGCTCTACCGACGCAGCCAGGATATTTGATGATGTCGGCGTCTGGATGACAGCAGGTCTTGATGGTGCTAGGAGTCTGTCAGATAAAAAGAACAAAATCAATTGCAGATAAAGCTAGACATGTAAAGCCGAGTCCCAGTGGCTTTTGACTGCCATGCCAGAATAAAGCTCACCTGGCTCACTCCATAAAGTCGACTGCTGATGACCCTTGTCATATCTTTCAAAATTCACGGTTTGGTCATAAATGTTTTTCTCTTCGAGCAAGCTTTGGATGGACCAGTTGTTGGTGTCGTCTCCCGAGCTCTGCCCCACGTCGGGAGCAAGGTCAGCCTCGCGGATAAAAGCCTTCAGTGTCTCGGAATAGCCATGGCTGCGCAGGAACCGAGCAACTAGAGCACTGGATAGTTCATCTACTGTTTTGGAGGAAGCCATGCTTGTACTTGATCTGTCGGGAAATGTTTGGTTAGGGAGAGGTTACTCGTGGCGCATGACATGCTTGTATATATATCTTGCAATCACGACTCACAGACGAATGTGGTTTGGTCTACATCTTATATTTATTATCACTCAGAGATTACAGAAGAATGTCATCTAACAGAGCAGAGTATGTGTCATTAAGAATTTTTTTATCAGACAATCTATTTCCCCATATTATTCGCGAAACGCCGGATATCCATCATGCTCCCGTGAAGCCCACTAACAATCAAGCAAATGCACAGTTTTGACGTATAGCTTAGACTATTCAGCTGAACATATCCTCAGCCCGACGTCGACGACCGCCTCGCCCCTCTAGTGTGTCGGAAAACAATTCCTTGCCAGCGTTGGCGCCAACACTGGTGTTGTTGTTGGTGTCATTGTCGAACTTGGAAGGGAACAGCTCACGCACCGACGCACCCCTACCCTTAATCGAGATGCCGCCAGATGCGCCGCCCCGGATGGCAAATCCTTGATCCTCGGCTTTTGTGGCTGCTCCACGAATGCGAGCGCCATTGTTGGTGGAATCAGGGAAGAGCTCAATATTGCTGTGACGTCTGTGTTCAGAGGTGCCTGGGATAGAAGAAGCGTCGAATGCATCTGAACGGCGATGATGACTAGCCTTGCTAGGCAGCAACTCCTTTTTGATGTAGCTGGATGTGGGCCTGTCTGGGAAAAGCTCGCGGTTTTCTGACTCGCCCGCGCCCGCGCCCGCGCTTGGGAAAAGCTCTCTATCCTTGTTCTTACGAACGTGTATGGGTGATCTCTCACGGAACCGCCTGCCATTGTCACGACCACCTCGCTCGACCCGAAGTTCTTCCTCTAGCGTGTCTCGTCCCGGAGACGCACTGCGGTTCCGGAGACGTCCACTTGACCGGCCCTCGTCCTCTGGGAACAGGTCTCTCTGGCCACGACCTCTGGGTTTTGTCCGAGCGCGCTCGGGTTCAGAGCCAACATTATCATCGTACATGTCAACATTGAAGTGGTCATCCTCGTCGCGGTCTCGACGGCGTCGGTGCTCCCGATCGTCGAATCTGCGTCGCCTGTAATCTCCTTCACCTGCATCGTCGCTACGTCTCCTGTCCGCAAACTCTTGTCGCAAGCGTTCTCGAGGATCGTGCTCGGGGTGCATGAGGTAGAAGCGACTCTTCTCATGAGCGCGTGCTTGCTTGCGGTCCGACTTGACAGCCGATCGCACTTGGAGGACGGAATCAGGGTGGGAAGAGAGGAGTTTCGCCGATCGGAGACGCAGAGGTGGCAATGTAGACGCGTCCTCTTCCTCGGCGACTTGGGTAAGAGCTGTGAGAGCTTGGAGGCCAATTTCGACCGAGGAGAAGATGATGTTGGCAGATGTGTCGTCGATCCATTCAACGCGCACTGGTTCATGCCCAGAGCAATCCCGCGCGAATTCTTTGATATTTTCTGTAGTCAATTCATCGACGCCACGAACATGCACTTTTTCGTAGACCGCCTCATCGGTGAGGGGGTCGAGGGTGGTTTCTAATTTCGAGGTTGTTTCCTAGCACTCGACATATGTTAGTCGACAATCGACTACCACTTGAGATAGAAAAGAATATACTCACCACCTGAATTGGCTCGGGCTCTAGCTCGGGCTCTGGACCTAGGTCAAGGTCCATGTCGATGTCGATGTCCGCGGTAGGAGCCGAGGCGGCCCCGCTGAATGCCATGATTTGGGCTTCGCTGGATGAATCGGAGGTAATCAGAAGTTCAAATCAGAACTTATCTAACAGTTCGAATAGAATTGACAATTGAGGGGATAGAACTGAGCAATGCAAGAGCAAGGTGAAAACCGTGCCCGCTGGTAGCTTAACTGTCTGTCCTAATAAGGAATAGCGTCCTTTATCCGGGGAACATCGGCAATCTCAAACTAACAACCTCCCTTGGATGTCTAAAGGGCAATTATTGTTGAACACCGAGCCTGAGGATAAATTGCGAAGAAACTAACGGTTGTTTACTTTGATATTTGACGGATATTTGAACAAAGAATAAATACTGAAAGGACAAGGATGGTAACATGGTCTCGGATATGATTTATAAACACAGAGGTGCTAGGCGCTAGAAACCCCCAGTTGAGGAGGAAATGGGAGTCGGATTTTGACTATACCAATATATCAAACAAATATATCGGTATAAGAAGGTGGGAACCATCTTCCGACGAAGCTGATAGACCATCCATGATTCGCAGTGGATACGATCTTCGCCTAGACCCTCGTCTTGTATATGTTGTTTTTATCTAGCAATTGTGGGCTGAGGTCATTGCTGGAATGAGGTCACGAATTGGGATCTAGTTAGAGGATGGCAGTAGATGTCTAGAATTGAAACTCTTGGGAATGTATGGTCTCGACTTGCCGCGACATTTAGCTTGTTTCATCCTCCGGGGAGCCCTAAAGAACATCCACTCTGCTATAGTTATGACACTATGTGGGTTCTGTTCCAAAGAACTCCCTTTGTAGGACATGTCTAGAAGTCTCTTTGAAATCCTAAGACTTGGAAAAAAAAAAGGTATTAAATTTGGGATTTAGTAGGTAGTAGTCAGTAAAGACTATGAGGTGCCCACCAAAGATAGAATATGTTAAGTACATAGCAAGATATCTCCCGAAAGGATAGTAACACACCATAGTAATTCCACGTAGCCATCCCAAGACCTCAGATACTCATGTTCTATCGTATGTGTTCTGTTATATATGTTCTGTTCTGTCGTGTTGTACCGACCTAGCCTCGAAGCTGGTTCTGGTTGAGCTCGGCTGGTTTGGCTGTATATGCACCCAGCTCGCTCACCCCAAAATTGCGGTCATTGGTAACAGGTTGGTATGGATGAAGTGGATCCATGTGGACTGGTTGGGCCAGAAGAGACGCACGCTTTCTCTTTCTCCTTTCCCAAAGGGCCCAGCCAATAGAGAGAAGAGCAACTACCCCAAGGGGGACGCCAACTCCTGCTCCTATCGCCACGTCATTGGAATTATTGCTCGTTATAGATGAACCAGTTCTAGAGGTGCTGGTATCATTTGCCACCGTAGAAGAAGTATCGTTGGATCCCTTCACCAAGTCCGACAGAGCCGCAACACCAGGGATGGCAGTACCATTAGCGACCGTAAAAGGTGTTTGTGGTAAACCTTTAACGTAACCACATATCAGGTCTCCGGATGTTTTATTGGTGAACAAGGAATTACAACAAAATGTAGGATCTGGGCCGGTGGTATTCAACGGAACAACAGCGGCGCCAGAACTTTGTTGAGCATCCTCTGTTAACAGGGAGTTTAGTATGGATTCACTAAATAATCATAGATTTGACTACTTATGATTTCAAGGCATTGAAACTTACTACATATTGTAGGGCAATTCCCACTCCTCCAGTCTGGATCGGTGCAGCTTCCGCGTGAAAGATGATATGGCTCGTCCAAAGACAAGCATAATTTGTTCGTAAGGCATATTGCACTTGATGCACAGCAGTGCGAGATGTTCCCGTCAAAGAAGCATGGTGTATCTGTGCTTTCATCCCCGTTGGGATAGTAGCATTTGTTGGCGGCTCTAATCGGGACAATAAGACATAGAAGGCTGAGCTGAAGGGCAAGGCCTCTAAATAGAGACCAGCTTCCCATATGGGCAGAGTACCTGATTGACGTCGCTCTAATATATTGGTGCGCACCGCTTGTAAGTCGGAAGAGGGAGAAAGGAGCTATAATACTGATGATAAAAGGGGAACGTAGCGACCTCGGGGCTGGGGTTATGTATTTTCTTAGGGCTATTTACAAATAAGATTACTATCGTCCACTATAGCTTACTACTGGATAGTTCGGCCACCCAGCCTCAAAATTAAATGCAGGTCCATGGCCCCTGATAATTTATGATCCCTGTCAGCTCGCGAGGCTCTTCTTTTACTCTCAGACTGTGTAGCGCCAGACTTGTTGGCCACATCAAACTCTGCTATTAGGGAGTCCAACTGTGTATTCAAACTGTGTATTACTCACTATTGTTTAGGGCTTTTGGGGCCCATTGGGCTTCGATCTTGGACCTATTTTCTTTCGCTATCTATGTAGATAGTGATTCACACACATGGATTATTTCAACTTTGGCTAGAAATTCCTGTGATGGGGGCTAGTTGATGCCGAACACCACTCAGAACACGAGTTAACCCGCTTGAGTGGGGCGAAGGATTGGGTGCTTTACATATGCAGTGAACACGTCTACTCCGCATGTTGTAGCTGAATCTCAACATCCATAACCAATACATGTAAAAGGCCCGAGGACCGTCTGTACTTTTGTGAAAGTTGGGGGCCTCGGGAGATAGCCATAACTAGCCGCTATGTGGGGCGAGAACACTCATGTGGTTTACTAGGTGTGTGTTAATCTATTCTGTTTCTCTTCTGAGACTAAATAAGCTAATTTTAGACCTTAATCCTAATAATTAAAAACAAAATCTGGAGCCGATTCAATAATGGTAGGAATGTGTAGTTATCTGACATAGTTAACTAGTATTTGTAGGTACATGTATACCTTGGGTTTTGTTTGTGAGGAGTGAGTACATCGTGAAGGAATGATCCAATCTCCTACAACATAAAGGCGCATATTTTAAATTGGGCCGGAATCAGCGGAACTTTCATTTGGGCTATGTACATTCAACATATACCTAATTATCACTAGTTTTACGAGCTTGTACCCTTGAACCCTGTAGGCCCCACAACCAGTGGTTGCTACTACCAGTAAGATATCTATATATACCCTGTTGTGAACACGGGCGTGTCGCCCATGGGCGTAAATAAAAAGCCCTGTCTCCAATGTACGGAGTACAATGTAGTAGGTACCTAATTTTGCAGACTCAGCCTCAGCTCTACTAAGACCCTTTGTTTGCTTCCAAGCTTTGCTTGAGCTATTATGCAAAGGCTCGGCCTGTCAATTCTCGTTGGTTTGGTTTCTCTATATTCTCTTTGCTGGTTTCGCCATAATGGCGTCCACAATGAAAATTGCAAGCTATCCAATTCTTCCTTCCTGGCCTTGCCTGAACGTCTTCCGCCGTCAGCATCGGGCATATTATTACACAATATTGGCAATTCTATTGTTGCTCATCCTGAGCAGCATTTCAACTCACAGGCAAGAAGACCATTGGTCGTATCCTTCTTTTAATTCATCGCCTGATGTAGAACATTCAAGGTTACCCGTCATCCGCCCGGGAGATATAACAGCCAGTAGTTTACGCGAAGTGAGGCCACAAGATGATACTGCGCCATTTGCCCATGAACCTATTGGGCTTGGGACATTACGTGACGTCCGGTATGTTGGGAACTGGCTCCATAGCTCCTGTCTTGTATTTGAATCCTTTTCTTCTAACTTTCTCTTTACAGAGAAGGGAATTTCTATCGCGGCGGAACCTTGACATTAACACATGGAAATGGTGATGGCCCTTTCGTTTATGACCCATACCCAGACTACAACGGAGATGAGTGGCGCAAAGTGTCTTTAGGGAGCTTTCAAGCGTGTGCTGGTCCTGGGGGAAGGCTTCTAAGTCGCTCGAGCGCGGACGACATGATGTCTGTGTATCCTGGTATTCCAGAGAGTAAGTCTAAGCTCTCCGCACATTTTGAATCATCTTTAACACGTTACTTCAATAGAATTCCCTCCTCCATTGCTTGGCTCGTATGCGGCAACAGGGCTCGATGCATATGTCTGTTCTGATCGCTTCTCTCGATTGCGTACCTACGGCTACGATAACTATACCAACCACCCCGTCTCCGCCTCTAAGGGTCCAGTACAAACCAACTGGAACGAGGTCAACTGGGGGTCACTCCAAGCACAATGCTTCGAGAGAAATGCCGGTCGATACACCCAGAGCCAAACTCAACCGCGCCCTATCCAGCACATCCTTCCAGCTCGCCCCATCTCTCGCTCTCCTACAATGAATCTCCGCCGGGGACAATCTAATACCACACCATCTGAGCCACGGCATAAAACAAGATCTGCGGTCGTCCTACGTACATGGCATGACATGGAATGGACCGACAACCTTAAGCAGAGTGTTCGGTCCCTGGTCATGGAACTATCATTGCACTCTGGTGCCGAATATGAAGTTATCATCTTATGCCATGTGAAAGACGCGAGCATCCCAATTAATATAGAGGATGCGGAGGCAATGCGAAGTCTCAAGTCTCGCTTCATTCCACGCGAGTTCCAAGAAATGGCCGTCCTTTTTAATGACCAGACGTTGGAGTCATGGTATCCCGGCGTCGATGAGCATAGGTATAGTACCACATCTCTTACAGTTCTTAATTCTTTGGCGCTTAATACCTTTATAGCACGACACACCAATACTGGCAGCCAGTCCAGATTTTCTCTCAATCGTTCCAAGACTTTGATTATTACTGGCAATTAGAAATGGATTCTAAATTCACCGGTCATGTCTACCACTTCCTCGAGAAGTCCGCCGAATTCGCAAAAAGGCAGGCACGAAGATACCTCTGGGAGCGGAATGCATATTTCTACATCCCAGGCACATATGGGACCTGGCGAGACTTTACAAGGATGGTCGGCTCCACTATGAAGGGCCGTGGAAGTGTCTGGGGACCTAATGGTATCCCTTCACAACTGACACCGGTAGGCCTAACTCTTTCTCAGATAATGCCTATGGGACTAACGCTCGCTCAGATGACGCCAGTAGGCCCAAAGCCCCCCCGTTAAATCCCCAGAAGAAGACAAATATGAATGGGGTGTCGGCGAAGAAGCAGATCTTATCACCTTTTTACCAATGTTCGACCCTACCGACACGCAGTGGACATTCGTCAATACACTATGGGGACTTTCAGGAGACGTTCCACGACGCGCATCGCCTGTTGCTATAGGACGGGTATCGAAAAATCTAGTGCAGCAAATGCACGAGATAAACCAACGGGGCATCGGCTTAGCTTCTGAGATGACAGCTCCTACGCTAGCTCTCTGGCATGGACTTAAAGCCGTGCACGTACCCCATCCTGTTTATGTTGACGGGAAATGGTCATCAAAGGAACTTGGTCGGATTTTAAACCCTGGTCAACCCGAGAAAATCAACGGTGGCGATGATAGTGCCTGGAACTGGAATCACCGTTGGGATCATATCTTGTACCGGCTGTCTTACATGTTCACAACACAGACTGCGGAAGACCTTTATCGGAGATGGTTGGGCTACAGGATTGATCCTAACCAATTTGCTGATGGAAGCTATGTGAGTCTCATTGGTTGTGTCTGCGTTGCAGCTCTAATCTCTTGCCTTGTTATTTTTAGCACCAGGATCCTCAAGGCCGGAACTGGTTCGAGAGCGGCGACTTGGTGAGTTTTACAGTCCTGTCCAGACATGAGAATATTAGGATAGGTAGGCTGACGGTCATGTTCTTCCAGCGAGAGGATTTATATGGTCCACTGTGTTTTCCATCCATGTTACTGCACACGGTCAAGAATACAGCGGAAAAGAAGGGGCCAGGAATGGCAGTTCCAGTCTAAAATGTCTTCTTGGCTCGTCGTCCTTTGCACTTCTCTGTTTCCGCGCAGGACAAAACGAAGTGTTGTACTCCATGGACCTAGTTCGGAGATGAAAAGGTGCGATGTTGAATCCAGAAAGATATGGATATAGATAAAGTTAAGTATAATATAATCACAATATAATATAGAATATAAGTTAGATATCTACTTTCTACATCTGAAATAGATAACTTGAGTCTATACAAATTAATTCATGCAAGAACGCTTTATATTAGCACCAGTCTTTCCTATATAATACTATTATCCGAACCAATGTATGTTTAGATGAATGGAATTTCCTCTTTTGGAAGACGCGGAGTTATGTCCTTGCTTTATATGGAAGGTCAACTTCAGGCTAAACTCGCGATAGATGCTACCTATGATTTCAAGGCGTTTAAAGGTACGGATCTCCACCTCACCACCTCTGAGACCTCTCAGAAGTCCTCTGGGACAAATGAGTGTTGTTACTGGTACTTCGTGCAGTGGATCTGCTGTACTTCTCATCGTAAATAGCTATGACACAGCATTAGGATTGCATGGTGAGGGGTACCATGCCATTCCCTCAATACTTAATGCCCGGTTGTTTGAACCAGACTGCTCATCTGTTTAGCACAAATCGCCTCTTGCTTCCATCAGAAAACAGCAGATTAACCAACGCTAACAATCTCGTGTACCAAAATGCTCTACGCCGAAGACGACAAGCTCGTCTTCCGTTTCGACGACCACATCCTCTGGGTGCAGCCATGGGGCGAGAATGCCTTCCGTGTGCGTGCAACGCGACAGGCGTCAATTCCAACGGAAGATTGGGCTCTTTCCTCCAAGCCACCCAACCCAAGCCCAAGCATCGAGATATCCGCTGACCAAGAAGCGACTATCACCAATGGCAACATCAAAGCAACCGTGTCACGCAGGGGAAAAATTATCATCTATGATTCGAAGGGAAACAAACTCCTTGAAGAGTATGCCCGCCACCGCCAGGACCCAATGGACCCCAAGTGCAGTGCGTTGACCGTCGAAGCTCGCGAGCTGCGTCCAATCCTGGGCGGCGACTACCACCTCACTATGCGGTTCGAGTCTCTCGATCATAAAGAGAAGATCTTCGGTATGGGGCAGTATCAGCAGCCCTACCTGAACCTGAAAGGTACAGACCTTGAGCTGGCACATCGTAACTCCCAGGCCAGTGTTCCTTTTGCAGTTTCGTCGCTCGGCTACGGCTTCCTCTGGAATAACCCCGGCATCGGACGAGCGGTACTGGGGACAAATGTCATGAGCTTCGAAGCGTACTCGACCAAGGCATTGGACTATTGGGTTGTGGCGGGTGACACTCCGGCGAAAATTGAAGAAGCATATGCCAAAGTAACAGGTTATGTTCCTATGATGCCGGAATATGGTCTTGGTTTTTGGCAGTGCAAACTCCGCTACACGAACCAAGAGCAACTGCTCAATATTGCGCGCGAGCACCGGCGTCGCGAGGTTCCTCTAGATTTGATTGTTATTGACTTCTTCCATTGGAAGCATCAAGGAGAATGGAGCTTTGATCCGGAGTTCTGGCCAGATCCCAGTAAGTTATCATTCTCGTTTATTTTATTTTATATCCCTTCGATAGAAAGATCGACTAACAGACAATGTCCGATTCTAGAGGCCATGGTCAAGGAGCTCAAAGAGCTCAAAGTCGAGCTCATGGTTTCCATCTGGCCTACCGTTGAAAACGCATCTGAGAACTTCCCAGAGATGCTCGAACAAGGACTGCTGATCCGCCACGACCGCGGCATGCGCGTAGCGATGCAATGCGACGGCGACATCACACACTTCGACGCGACAAACCCAGCCGCCCGGAAGTACATCTGGAGCAAAGCCAAGCAGAACTACTACGACATAGGAATCAAAACATTCTGGCTCGATGAAGCCGAGCCCGAGTACTCAATCTACGACTTCGACATCTACCGCTACCACGCTGGCAGCAACCTGCAGATCGGAAACACCTACCCGAAGGAGTACGCACGGGGGTTCTACGAAGGCATGACTGCAGAGGGCCAAACGAACATAGTCAACCTCCTGCGGTGCGCATGGGCAGGCAGCCAGAAGTACGGAGCGCTGGTGTGGAGTGGCGACATCGCGTCATCGTGGAGCTCGTTCCGCAACCAACTCGCAGCAGGCCTGAATATGGGACTAGCTGGGATCCCGTGGTGGACGACAGATATCGGTGGCTTCCACGGTGGAAACCCAGACGACCCTGTGTTCCGCGAGCTATTCACGAGATGGTTCCAGTGGGGAGCGTTCTGTCCGGTTATGCGACTGCATGGTGACCGTGAGCCGAAGCCGGAGGGACAGCCGACGGCTAGCGGGGCAGATAATGAGATCTGGTCATATGGAGATGAGGTTTATGAAATCTGTAAACGGTATATTGGGATTCGTGAGCAACTTCGTGAGTACACGCGGGGGATCATGCGGGAGGCTCATGAAAAGGGGACACCTGTAATGAGGACTTTGTTCTATGAATTCCCGTTGGATGACCGGGCTTGGGAGGTTGAGACGCAGTATATGTTTGGGTCGAAGTACTTGGTTGTACCTGTGCTGGAGCCAGGTCAGCGCAAGATCAAGGCCTATTTGCCGGCTGGGGCATCGTGGAAGCTCTGGGATGACAAAGATACGGTGTTTGAGGGCGGCCGCGATGTTGAGACCGAATGTCCGATTGAGAGTATGCCTGTCTTTGTTCGTCAGTAAATGGTGGACTTGGGATGGAAGACTTCGCAAGCCGTATCGACTTCGGTCATACAATTCTGCTCCCCTGCTTCAAAAAGACTGGGCTATAGTGATCTAGCCCCCTCCTTTTCTGTTTTCTCTCCTATTTAGCTATGGCAGCAGAATGTTACCGCACAGAGTGGCCAAAGCACGAAGTCTCCTTCCAAGTTTGTACTAGATATCAAACATCTGACATTCCTTCGAGTCAGGCCGCCGTTGCCAAGTGTTATCCCAGCAAACTATATACCCAATCAAGACAACCTTGGATATCGAATCCCCTAACTGGATTAGGAAGGGCCATATCAATTATACCAACTTGCCGCAGCATCAAGCCCCTGAGCTTGCAAGTTGTCCGAATACAAGCGCGTACAGCGCACTAGATAGCAAACATCCTCTATTCCTTCCAGCCAAGCTGTCATTGCCAAGAGTTTAGCTTAGCAGACTATCTACGGAGTATCCAGTTCAGACAAATAAGACAAATCCAAGTCCTGATAATTACATATTAGGAAGGACTATGTCAATTATACTAATTGTTGGCGACAAAAACAGCCCCTGAAGTTGCAGGTTGCATATACGCACAACGATAGATGCCCAAGGCAGCAATCAGTCATAAACCAAAAACTCCACTTATGCATCGAAGCCCATCGAAACTCAAAATCCGATTGGAAACAATCACGCAACCGTTAGAAACCTTCTCCGGTATCAAATTAATAATAAAATAAAGTAACCACCCAAGATAGAAAGAGTATCCCGAACAAGAAAGAGCCATCAAAAACGACATTAAAAAAAAGAAACAACCACCCTGTAATCTGAAACCCTGTCAAACAAACCGCCACCACCGGAGCCAGTTCCCGGAAAGGAAAGTGAAGAGCTCAATCTGTGGTTAGGGGTGTTTACCTAGTACATAACGGTGGAAATTGAGGCTTTGGTTTCGGGAAAGTCCCGAAGAACGGGAATTTGCAAAGCACTCATCTTCGCCGCGGGTATGGTCAGGGGACGGGAAGCGTAAAAGAAAAAACCTTGGAAGGGCTCTCACGAGGCTGGGCAGCTCCCGAGGTCTGTACCGACAGGCGGGTACCTTTTGGCGCTAAAGCTGTCTTGGGGTTGGTGTTTGATTGCACCGAGATTCTCCGTGGAGCCAATCAGAGGGAGGTATTACATAGGGCGGTTATTAAAACTATATTGTATACGGAGATGCCATCAGCATTGATAGACATGCAATATACATACGGAGTAGAGATTGATAGTTTAATTTTAGAATGCAATATAATATGTAATTAATTAATCTTCATATCCAAGTGAATAATAGTTGAGAGAGGATACAAGGCGGTATATGAAGGTACCGAACTGCTGCCCAATAGTCTGGCAGTTTTGCCGAAATACAAATCTCAATCTCGATCTCGATCGCGTTTGCGCATACGAATGGATCCCAAAATTGAGCCCAGCAAGACTGCTCGCTCTATAAGGCGATATGGGCCGTCGATCACCAAAATCCAGCAACTTGGAACTCAACGGTAGGAGAATGGATCCATGGATCGAGTTCCAACGTGCGTACTCCGTATGTTGTATGTCAAACCATGGAAGGAACAGTCAAAATTATACCTACCTAGGTAAGTTTGTGTTTGGTATTCCTACTCCGTATATTGCGGTATACCCCTGACCCTTCCCTTCTCCTGCCATGGTAGGTGCTGCGTTTAATACCCACAGTAGCGGAGCGACACTCCAACGGCTCGTTTCAGCTAAGAAAAACCGAAAACCGATCCGATCTGGCCTTGGCGCCGTTTTCCATTTTTGTCATCTTGTGCAGGTGCCGTGTGGTGGTCAGGGCAGTGTTAACGGCAGTCATTGAACTTTCTTTGCCCTATGCCCTCGGAAGGAATTAGAGTTTCATGGGGGCTTTTTTTTTTTCTTGGGATTCGGGTTTTCTTTGTGTGTAAGAAAGAGTAAAATAAAACAACTACCAGGATCATATCCCTACCAGGTAAAATGAAAATGGTAAATTGTAAATTGTAACCATCCATGGATGATAGCAAAGTTTTCTCCCGTGTGAGTTCCATGGTCCGTATCCCGTTTGGATCCACAGAAAGCAGGTAAACACAAGTATGGATGTGTGGATGTGTGGATGTATGGATGTCAGTACGGTATGCAGTCAGACTGGGAATTAGGCTAAAAGATTCAAAATACATACGTTCTGGGAACCTGCAGATCCTTGACAATGTCAATGTTGAAGTACCAGGGTTACCTTGTATCTACAAATTAATATCACATGTAATCAGTCCTGATTGACTGAACTACTGTTGCCCTATCACACTGGAAGGCAATCTACCCAATCTGATTCGGTAGATCTTTGGTACACAATACCCGATCACTTCAATAGTCTCGAGCTGAACAGAGCGCATGGTGTGTGGAAGTGATAGCTGGCTGGCTGGCATTTTTTTGTTATATATGGCACTTCTAGGTGTGCCAGTCTTCAATGTTGTCTTGGAAAAATTCGATATCATAGAATCATAATCACATATAGTGGACGGCCAAAAAGCCAAAAAGGGAAACAGACTTGACACGAGAAAATCAGAAAGACGAAAATAAAATAAAATGATAAATGATAAAACCACTCTGAAACGGCCAAAACTCGGTTATTACAATAAAATACAAAATAACAAGATACCAAAATCTCAACAGCCAAGGTCTAACCTACACCAAAAAAAAACCGCCTCACGGGGAAAGCGGAAAGCCCAACCCGACAAAAGAGAAACAAAAAAAACAAAACAAAAAAACAAAAAAGACGAGATGCATACTCAACTGCGTACATGCACGAACTCCACGATCCATGCAAGACCGACCAAATCCCCCACCTGAGAGCCCCGCCGTTCATCCCGTCAGAAGGTGACCAATCCGTCCTTATGCATTGCGACCCTTCCACTGATTGGCCACCGACTCATCCCAAACGCTCATCCCGTCCTGGGCGATCCGAGCGAAAACCAACCTGCATTACTGCATTATCTGGCTACGACAGCAGCCAGTAGCATAGCGGGTTTTTCATACAGAGCCCAAATGGGGCGGATAGGCGGGAAAAAAATATCATGGTGCACTTGGTGAAAAGTAGTGTCGAGATATAATAACTAACTAGGTAGTTACCTTGCTCGTGTGGCGTACACAATCCTAGCTCCCCATACTAACTACTGGATATGGTTCTTCCCGTTTATACTTTTTTTCAGTCTTTCGCTCTCGCTCTTCTATTGTATACTGTACTTAGTGGGTTGTATTAGACTATCTTTGGACTTGTCTATACCATATCTTCCATTATTCCTTGGCTGTGAATGGACGTGGGATTCCTGTGTCAATCATATTCCAGATCGGGACGGGAGGGGTTGTGGACGGTGCCAGACCGTTTGATTTTCCATTTTCTCCTGCAGACGCGGACGAATCTCTCGAATAGACTTCTTTGTTTTTTGTTTTTTGTTTTTCTTTTTTCAGCTTCCTGTGAGAGGTGTAGGAGTGCGTGTCATGTCTCTGATGTCCAGGTTCGGGGTCTAGGTTCTAGTTCTGCTTCTGAATCTGGATCTTGTCTGTCACCGTGCAGGACGAGTTCATGGGTTATGCATTATGCACATGTATGCATTACATGACGTCTCCTGGTCGTGATCTGGGTCTGAATGCAGACAATTAGTTACCATAACTAACTAGCACCAACACCAACTCACCAGTTTTCCCTTGGACTAAATAGTAACTACCTACATCGTGTACACCCGACCCTCCCCTAACTAGCCGAAGTCTAGTGTACATGTGCATAACCTATCTTAACTAACTAGTTATGTCGTATGTATGTTGTAGTCATCTGCAACAGTCCCACTTACATCTTGTTCCAATCTACATTCTATCACCACACACATGTTTCCATTGTGTTCTCCGAATCCCCTAACCTTGCCTTGTCAGACAAACGGGTGGGTCCTTACTTCCGTGCTTAGGCCCTGACCAGAACCAGAACCAGAACCAGGCCTCATGCTCTGGTATCCCTTGCGTCCGTCCTCGTGAGCACAGCGTGTGTCCGGTGGCGCATTCCTCATGGGGACCCGTGCAAAGGGGATAGTGAAACGGTTGGAAGGCTGTGGATCTGCATTCCCTGTCAATGCCTGCAATATTAGATGAAAGGCTGGCTGGAACAAGGGACGTGTGGGAGTACAAAAGTCTTTTTTTTTTTTTTTTTTTTTCGTTTTGAATTTGGTATATGTACGACTTGGGGTATTCTGTTAGCAATGAATGTTCGGGTAAGAAATAAAATGGTGGTATGTAATGTAGTATAGAATTGTTGAATATTATTATTAGACTTAGATCAGGACTATAACCAGGGTATTATGCCATCCAAGCAGAAATGGAGCCCAATTTCTCCAAATTGCGTGCCTAACCAAACACAAGAGTTAAAAAAGAGTATATAAAAAAAAGAAAAGGATAATAATTCAACGTATAACCGAGCCTCAAAAGGCCAGAAGAACAGAGTTTCAGGATCCGAACCATGGTAATACACACATTAAGAGTATACAAAAGAAAATCATAAATAACTCCCTATTAGAGAACATAGACACAAAGAAAATCGAGCTTTTGAAATGTACAAGAAGGGTTCCATCGGTGGACCCGAGCGCGAAGGGGAATCAGGAGTATAGAGCAAGGGAAAAAAAACAGATTTGAGAAATGAGACTCGTAAAGATCATGATGGATGCATATGCATTTTTTTTTTTTTTTTTTTTTTTCTCCATGATTTTGTTCAGTTGAGCAAGTTACTCACTCCCATGCGAGTGTCACGAGCAGGCTCAGGTCTGGAGATCCAAGTCTTGGGCAAGTCCGTAGGCTGGTGCCATGAAGCTAGAGTAGGCTGGTGGCCCATCCAGCGTTGTGTAGAGGCGATCTCTGACAAAGACTCTAGGGAGCGGGCTGGATAACTGGGCGAGTCCTCGAGAACATGGACACTGGGCCTCCGGATCTCGTACTGCGAGCGCAGGTCGACAGGCAAAGGCAGGAGTTGCGGGGAGGGGAAAGTGCGGGGTGAAGAAGAGCAGACGGAGCTGTGGTCTGAGACCATAGAAGGCGGCTCGCAGGAGGTAGAGTGTGAAGCCTCTGAGAAAGCGGGCGAGGTGAGGGGAGTTTCGATTGGTCGGTTGATGGAGGGAAGGGTGTAGATGGGGGAGAGCTGGCGGGCGGAAGAAGCCAGTGATTCTCTGCGGGAGTGGGAGTATTGTTCAGAGATGACGGTCTCGATGGACTCTGTCCATGAGGGGCGAGAAGAAGCAGAAGAGCTGGAGAAACGGGAGCGGCTTGGGCTCATTGCTGAAGCGCGGGTGTAAGGAGCCTCGATGCGGCCTGTGTAAGTGCGGGAGGTGGTGGGGGTAGACAGGCCGCGCTTCTTGCGGTTCATGCTTCCATTCCACCAGTTTTTGACTGCGTTGTCGCTGCGGTTTCCCAGACGGCGGGCGATCTCAGCCCAGCGCTTTCCCATTTCGTTGACCATGCGCTCGATCATCAGACCTTCGTCGGCGGAGATTGGCTCTCTGTTTAGCGAAGGCTTGAGATTTTGGTGGAAACGCTCGCGACATTGCTTGGGTGAGCGGTAATGCATGTGTTGAGAGATGCGAACCCAGTTGTTTGGGCCTTGTTCGCGAACCAGTTGAGTGAGGAGTTGGTCTTCCTCTGGGACCCAAGGACCACGACGGTGTGAAGCAGGCATTTTGAGAGTGGAGTAGAGTGGAGTAGATATTAGAGGATAAATAGGACGGATGGAGATAGAGATAGAGAGAGAGAGAGAGAGAGGATGTTGATAGTTAGAGGAAGTATAAAAAAAAGTATAAGAAGTAGATGAAGAGGTTATTATAGTCAGTTGTCAAGGTCTTTTTAAGTACCAGGGGGACGGGTCCAAAAGAAAAAAAAAACACAGGTCCCGCTATGGAAGATCACGATCCAAGATCTCGGAGCTGACAGTTCGGGATAATACAGGTTAAAGGGTAATATAATTAATATAATAATATATATATATATATATAATAATAAAATAAATAAAATATTATAATAAATAATAAAATAATAAAATAATAATACAGACTATTGTAATCTATAGATCGTGGGGAGTGGAAAAATGCTCCGTTGGGATCTTCAGTACCACCCGGGAATTCGGGCTGAGGAAAGACGCGTAAAACAGAAAAAGATCGGAGTGATCGACCCTGAGCCCCGTTGCTGGAATTCCAAATCATCCATGGCCTTCACTGTTTTCTTTTTTGGGATTTTCTTTTTCTTTTTATATATTTTCTTTTATTTATTTTATATTTATTTTTTATATATATCCTCTTAATTCGATTCCCATGGCCATGGTAACATAAGAAAAAAAAAGCAACTTTCCTTCAGTTCTAGATATAGTAAGTGTATTCCATAGCTTCAAAGACTTTCTTCCTTCTATAACCTAAAAAGTAATTATAGCTACATTCATATACAATGACAATAACAACCCAAAAAAATCAATCTAAGTAAAACAACTATGTACGGAGTACTAGAAAGGGGTCAAAAACCAAAAACAGCCAGGGGCAGATCTAGCTTCCGAATGACAAGCGGTTACTCCGTAGACAGTCCCAGATTCCCACTCAGCCAGCCATGCACAACACTTTCCCCTCAATTTATACCAGATCCTTATTCTATCGGTCAAGTCCGACATTTCATTGGTTCAACCAGGGTTCCTTCTCGACCTCGCGAAGATCCACGAGTGGACCGGTGGACCGAGTTAGGATTGACAAATTCCTGTTCCCCGTGAAGATACAATACAACCTTGGAATTTTTGGATTTTATCCCTTTTTTGGATTCAATAGTATGGGGAAATCGGTGCCTCCGTGCGATGACAGGAAAAGCTTCAGCCTCCCCGAACAACACCGAGCTATCCTTGATGACCCAGATCGGAGTTCATTTTTTTAAAATTCATATTATCTATTTTACATTAATTATCATTACATGGATTATTATTCTATATCTTGGTGTTCATACTATTGGCTTGGGAATTTGTATATTTGATATATGCCTTGCAGCCTGTCTTTCATATGGCTTAAACCCGGACTTGCTTTCCTGGTTTTCGAGATGAAGATCGAAGTTCCCTTAATCCGGATCAAAATGGTCACTAATTAATATCATAAAATCCATTTCAAGGAAAAGAACGATAAATAATTGAAATAAAAAAAAGAAATAAAACCGCATGGGCCACCTGCCACCTGTCACTGACAGTTGACCGTGGATCCTCTCCATGACGCCTAGGAAGGGGAAATGTGAACTAAAACAGAAATGGATTTCGTTAATCCCGATGCCAAGGGAGACCAAAAAAGGTACTATGTTGTATACAACTGCAAAGACACGGGATGTGACGTTATCCATTCCAATCTGGATATACTCTGGATACTCTGGGCACAAGGATTAGCTCAATCTAAATTATTATTATTTTTTTCTTCCCGTCCTTTTCCACAGTCCACAGACTATTTCCAGTCTAAGCACTGGCGTACCAGAAAAGAAAGGATGGGATGCATCAGAAGGCGAGAGATCGTGGATCGAATAGAAAGATCGACGAGTGCGAAGTTTCCAGACTACCTGGTTAGGCATGTCGCAGCTGAGATCTCCACCGGTGGAAACCGTTGAAACGCAAGCCACACCTTTTTTTTTTGCTTTTTGTTTACCAGATGGTATACTTCGAACCTTGGGTGAGAGTGAACAGCCACTGTGAGAATAGGGTAAAATACATACATACCACATACAATATGTACCAAATTAGTGTACATATTGTAATTTAATTCCTCCAGGGGTAGACCTTACATGCATCCATATGGATACACTAGGATGTTGATTGGTCCCCCAGGTATTTGTCATTGTTAGTGGGACTGCCAGTTCGGTTAAGGATAGGCGGGTATAGGCGTCTCCTAAATCTTTAATTTATTTGATCATTTCATCTATTTCATACACCAGATTGGAAGATAAAATATATATATATATATATACATCGTCTTTATAGATTAACCATTAATTAATGCTTGGAGCATTCCAACAAGTCTATACTATAGATTCAAAATAAAAAAGAATGTGGAGAAAAAAGAAAAAAGACATTAATTAATCCCCCATCCCTTTTTTGTGTTTTCTACTTCCAAGGTTGTATATTCTGGGGTGTGAAACATGGTTCTAGAAAGTAAAAAGGAAAACATGACCTTCTTGTGTAGCCATGTGGACAAGTCCTCGTGTGGACAACCAGATCGGATTTCCGTACTCCTGGGAAAAACCGTTTCTGAAAGGGTGAACCCGTCGACCTGGAATGCAACATCAACTAGGGTGTACCCGAGATTGGACCTGTCAGTATTTTATTTTATTTTATTTTATTTTTTAATTATTTGTTTTTACCGTTTACTCAAAAGGTAGACTATTGTTCCCCCCCTGTCTGTTCGCCAATCAGAAACACGGCAAGTATTTGAGATAAATCCCTGTCGGCCTGCAGGGATCACCGCTGATCACGTAGCCCCGTGCACTCGAGCTTAGATCAGGGCATTTGAGCGCTGGTATTGAGGGAGAGAGAAGTAGTGTATCAAGTGTAAAAGAAGATAGTAAGTATATTTTAATATCGCAAGAACCCATAAAATACTAGAATATCTCCATATCGATATAGTAAAAAAAGAACCTTGAAGTTTGATATTGAAGCTCAACGGGGTACCCGTCACTAAGAAGTCTAAATGTGGAGCGAACGGTCTCGCAGCTGCTTCCTGACTGTCGGGCCATCCTCATGGCTTTGCAGCCCAGAGAGGGTCCAAGCACAGTGTGTTCCTGTGGCCCCCTTTTCGCCGTTGGGGTCACGTGGGAAATAAAATATATTGTAACCCGATTTGGGTATAACTTGCGAGATTTGTTTCGCATTTGCTTATGGGGTTAAAAGCTATGGGGAAACTAACTATAGCTAGATGGAGCATGGAGTACTCCGTACAGTACATACATCATCATCCATCGTTCTAGATTCTCATTTATTATTGTAGCTATTGGCAGTGTTCAGGGATTAAGACTGCCCTAGTCGTTTTCATTCTCCTTTAGGTAATGTGTTGTACTTTTGTGATATGTTCATCAACACGACACGAGGTGG